GGGGGGGGGGGGGGGGGGGCGAAGAAGGCGATCCCTGATTAGCCACTGTAACAGCCAAAGATCACCTCCTCTTCGAGGAGGCATGTCGTCTTCAGATCTTCTCTTCGACCATTCTCTCTCTTTCTTGCTTGAGATCTCTGCCATTTTTATCACTCCTCTATGATTTCTATCACGTCTGTTGCGTGCCCTAGTTGCTGAAAAGCAACAAAGTCACGTTTTTTTTTCTTTTTTTTTTGATCAAGGATTTTTTCTAATTACTTTTCAGCCCCTATTATTTTCTTTTCCTTTTTTCTTTGTCCTAATTGCAAAATTACAATTTATAAGTAACTCTTAGACTTCTTATATTTTATGTTAAATTACAATAATATTTTATTAGTTGTCACCCACTACCCAATTTGGTTCAACCCACTGCCCATAATATATTAGTCCACTAATCAAATTTAATATTAGTTCATTTTCTCCGATTATAAAATATTAATTAATTACTCAATTTTATTATTAATGTTATTATATATATAAAAATATATTATATTATTTTAATTAGCCGTATCCTCCCAGTACGCATGTCCTATATTTTAGAATTTTATCGTATTCTCGTATCCATATCATATAGAATACGACACCTGTGTCCGTATTCATGATTCCTTGGTTATCGGTGATTAGCACTTTTTTTTCCTTCAAAGGAAACCAGGAAGTACCACCATCCTCTTAGTTATGAGCACCAGTAGCTTCCTTAAATCCTACAACAAAACTATNCCATCACGTCTATTGCGCGACCTAGTTGCTGAAAAGCAACAAAGTCACGTTTTTTTTTTTCTTTTTTTTTTTGATCAAGGATTTTTCCTAATTACTTTTCAGCCCCTATTATTTTCTTTTCCTTTTTTCTTTGTCCTAATTGCAAAATTACAATTTATAAGTAACTCTTAGACTTCTTATATTTTATGTTAAATTACAATAATATTTTATTAGTTGTCACCCACTACCCAATTTGGTTCAACCCACTGCCCATAATATATTAGTCCACTAATCAAATTTAATATTAGTTCATTTTCTCCGATTATAAAATATTAATTAATTACTCAATTTTATTATTAATGTTATTATATATATAAAAATATATTATATTATTTTAATTAGCCGTATCCTCCCAGTACGCATGTCCTATATTTTAGAATTTTATCGTATTCTCGTATCCATATCATATAGAATACGACACCTGTGTCCGTATTCATGATTCCTTGGTTATCGGTGATTAGCACTTTTTTTTCCTTCAAAGGAAACCAGGAAGTACCACCATCCTCTTAGTTATGAGCACCAGTAGCTTCCTTAAATCCTACAACAAAACTATCTTCACGAATCACAACACTAGGCAGCTGTATAGAACCAAAAAAATTAGGGTTTGCAATTAAGGAGTATTTTTTTTAGTAGGTTTTTTTTTTGGAGCAATTTGGAGAACAAATTACAGTATTACACATATAGTGCTAAACTAGGGTTTTTTTGGAGGGGCCTTGAATTAGAGTTTTTTTGAACTACTGCATGCCGAGATTGATGTGATTATATATTTTTCATAGAATGGTTAGTTATTATTATATATTTTTGATTGATGTGTAATTTACTTTATAAATCATAATTATTACATTAAATATAATAATAAATTTTAAAAATATATATATTTTATGGACGCATCCTACTCGTACCCGTATCCTGTTTTTTTAGGTTTTGTCGTATTGCCGTATCCGTATCGTATCATATCTGTATCCAATATTCGTATCNCCCATGTCCTATATTTTAGTATTTTATCGTATTCCCGTATCCATATCATATAGAATACGACACCTGTGTCCATATTTATGCTTCCTTGGTTATCGGTGATTAGCACTTTTTTTTCCTTCAAAGGAAACCAGGAAGTACCACCATCCTCTTAGTTATGAGCACCAGTAGCTTCCTTAAATCCTACAACAAAACTATCTTCACGAATCACAACACTAGGCAGCTGTATAGAACCAAAAAAATTAGGGTTTGCAATTAAGGAGTATTTTTTTTAGTAGGTTTTTTTTTTGGAGCAATTTGGAGAACAAATTACAGTATTACACATATAGTGCTAAACTAGGGTTTTTTTGGAGGGGCCTTGAATTAGAGTTTTTTTGAACTACTGCATGCCGAGATTGATGTGATTATATATTTTTCATAGAATGGTTAGTTATTATTATATATTTTTGATTGATGTGTAATTTACTTTATAAATCATAATTATTACATTAAATATAATAATAAATTTTAAAAATATATATATTTTATGGACGCATCCTACTCGTACCCGTATCCTGTTTTTTTAGGTTTTGTCGTATTGCCGTATCCGTATCGTATCATATCTGTATCCAATATTCGTATCCATGCTTCATAGCCCAGAAGTGATCTTTGAAGACCAAAACTGTGTTCATGGGCCTGATTGAGGTAGACTGGTCCTAGTAGATAAGAATATAGGTGCAATTGGTGTTGTTCTTGNCTACCATCCTCTTAGTTATGAGCATCAGTAGCTTCCTTAAATCCTACAACAAAACTATCTTCACGAATCACAACACTAGGCAGCTATATAGAACCAAAAAAATTAGGGTTTGCAATTAGGGAGTATTTTTTTTAGTAGGTTTTTTTTTGGGAGCAATTTGGAGAACAAATTACAGTATTACACATATAGTGCTAAACTAGGGTTTTTTTGGAGGGGCCTTGAATTAGAGTTTTTTTGAACTACTGCATGCCGAGATTGATGTGATTATATATTTTTCATAGAATGGTTAGTTATTATTATATATTTTTGATTGATGTGTAATTTACTTTATAAATCATAATTATTACATTAAATATAATAATAAATTTTAAAAATATATATATTTTATGGACGCATCCTACTCGTACCCGTATCCTGTTTTTTTAGGTTTTGTCGTATTGCCGTATCCGTATCGTATCATATCTGTATCCAATATTCGTATCCATGCTTCATAGCCCAGAAGTGATCTTTGAAGACCAAAACTGTGTTCATGGGCCTGATTGAGGTAGACTGGTCCTAGTAGATAAGAATATAGGTGCAATTGGTGTTGTTCTTGTACATAGGATGGCTATCAATCTGTGTCTTTGCAGAATGCTTACATCCTTTGTAATTTGCTTATAGCTTGTTGCTGTATTTGATGAATTTTGTCTTTCTTTCGTAATCTGTCAACATGTATAGGGGGAACCCTGGTCTCTTTTGTGAATCACTTTTTTGATCTATACAATTACATTTACTGATCAAAAAAAAAAAAATGCCTCTCATTTAGCTTGTGCACAAAATATGCCAACACATCATAATGGACACACACACACACAAATATATATGTTTTGTCCTTGTCTTATCTTTGTCCATGCAACATGCACAATCATAGGATATTATGATTTACAAGTAAAAGTTGTGCCAGAAAAAGCCATAGAATATCAGCTTGCTTCTTATGAAATAATTTTGATCTATATGACACAAGTCTATCCATCACAGAGGATGTTTTGTTGTCTCCCTGCTATTTCAAAGTCCAACTTCTAAAATTTTTGCACCATAATTCAAAGGGGACCATTCAGGAAATCCAAGTCCAGTTAGCTAAGCAAAAGTGAACCAGCTTTATGACTGACTTCAGATAATGGAATGTCGGTGTTCTAGATAGCAGAGTACGGCCACAGACCAGTCCACTACATCAACTTCCAAACAAGACTCAACAATTGAGGAAAAGATACAGGTATACATGGTCAACAGGTTTTCGATCTCTCTTAAATGATTCATGTGACTTGCAACCCTAAAATGGAACCAGATACTTAACTGGGAGTTCATTGAATATTATTTTTAGTATAACTGTGCCATTCGTAAAAGCATTTCAAACCTGAGAAAAGAGAGTGGCAGCTTGGCAAGTATCTACCATAATCAACAGCTCCTTAAATCTGAAATGTAAACATAATCAACAAAAAATGAGGTGATTGCTTAGGAAATATCACTAAACTAACCAAGTCCCAAAACTACTACAAGATATATTGAACAAGAAACCCATCATCAAAAAATTCCAGAATTTTAAACAGAAATATAACACATAACATTTGTGTGTCTAATAGACCATCCTAAGTTGTATATCACTGGCAGACACTTTTGAAAAGAACCATAACACATGTCTAAGAGCCAATACTAAGTTTCAATCGATCTAGAATTCTTTACAGGATCCCAAGACAAAAAAGGCATTTACAGAGTCATGAAAATTGGACAACAAAATTGGACAANTTGATCTAGAATTCTTTATAGGATTCCAAGACAAAAAAGGCATTTACAGAGTCATGAAAATTGGACAACAAAATTGGACAACACTGTCCCTCAAACCAGAGTAAACTGAATACAAATATTACAAGAGTGAAAAACAACATTTACCCAAGTAAGCCTTATGCTTACCTGTGCTTTTCTTTCATTTGTTTCACTGCATCAGCTAAATCATGACTTTGAAGCTCCTCTGAGTCCTGAAATTTGAGGAACTCATCCCCTCCATGTCCCGTCATATATAGAAGTATGTGGCTTCCTTCATCACTCAGAAGACGTTTTGATCTTGGAACAGCAGTTTCATGACGCCCCGTTAAGACTCGCAAAAAATTTTCAACATTCACTTCATAACCTCTATAATCTACCTGACATATTAGAACTCGAAAAAATCAGAGCCTTATCCTGAATAGGCTACAGTAAAAAAAACTCTACACATAACAACATAGCCATGTCAACTTTGCTTATATGTGTGTCTTCGTCTGATTGTGTATATTATGCATTGATCTGATAAACTAAATGAACAAGGCGTGTGGTGGGGATGAAGTGCAATCTTCTCATTCAGCCATTGTTGAATATTATTTTTAAATTTCCCCAAGCAACCCAAAGTAGACCTTGCAAATACTCCAAATTAAATACACGTGAAACTTGGAAAATCAGCATAGCTTTTAATATCAGCCAAAGCCTTGTGGTTGCACCCAAAGAACGATGAACAGTAAAGGATACGTGACAATTTTAACAACAAATATGGCAAAAGATGAGATCATTTAGTACAATAGTTCAGTTATTAAATGACAACTAATGAGAAATTAAAGATATGGTACAGAGCATAGTTGTTGAGTGTTTAATAACATCAAGGTTTATTGCTAACAATCAAATGCACCTATATCGAAAGAAATTCTGTCAGTATTATCATGCTTCTAGACATCCATTTCTATATATAATGCCTCAAAAGAAATGCTGTCAGTGGTTATCATGCATCGAAAACAATACCTCGCATTAAAAGACATTGCACAAACTAAGCAATTTGATCATGCTTCTAAACATCCATTTCTATAAAAGTGCTATGAATCCCAGAAGCCCTCAAAAGAGTTTTGGTCAAAAAGGTCATTATTCAATGTTGGTGTTGCTTAAGTAGGTGCAGGGAGGATCAGCTGGACACACTCCTAATGTTTGAAATATTTTGAAAGGAGGGGTTGCTCCCCAACTCAAAACTGCATTCTCAATCTTTGTAACTAAGCTTTTTACCAATACATAAAATTCCAGGTGAAGATCCAAAATCTATTTAGAATGGTAGATACTAGGTTTTCAAAGTAAAGGATACATAAATTGAAGATGTCTTCAGTGATACTGCTTTCCATCCAAATATAAATTTTCCACCACCAATATGAAATGAAATCATCAAATGGTTCTCAATATGAATCTTAATTGAAAAAAACATATCCACTGTATTGAATGTCGATGTCCTTGGATGGCTAATGGGCACAAAATTGAATACAACTGTACTGTGACTAAAAGGTCTGAGTATGAAAACTGAACTAACCTCAACATTATCTCCATACAAGTTAAGCCTGTGGTTTTCATTGTTGAAGACTTGGGCAGGGTACTTATTCCGAGCGTTGCAAGCCATATCATCAGCCAACATAAGTATTATCCTCTCATCAGGTATCCCTAGCCGCTTTACCGTTCTGGATATAAAACACAGAAAACAATCTATAAATTGCAAAAACTAGATAAGATAAAGAAAAAATTTCAAATAAACATACAACAAAGATTCTGAAGCATGCTTGCTTACCTGTATAAGGATAAAGTATTGGCCATATGTCGATAATTAAACCTGAATAGGAATCAAAGGAATATCATTTTACTTTGATATAATGAAACATGAAAAATTGAAACCATACACAAGATTGCTCACGCTTCTACCAACAGTGTGTAGACCTTCACTGCTTCGATATTATTTCCTATGCAAATTAAGGCCAGAATAAATCAACCCAATTAAGGTCAGAATAAATCAACCCAAGCTAGGGGTGCAACTCAAATGGGCTAGGAATAAGGAGTTGGCCCATTTTCAACTTGGATTGCGGAGAGACCTACCCAAGTATCATCCCACTGACCTTGGGTTGATGGCATAATACATAGATCCCAAAAAAGTTTGTGTTGTCCAAATTTTGTGTCAACACAAACACCACATGTGTACGGCCGCACACATGGGCAATCTCATAGTGTCACAAAGTTGCTTAAAATTAGAAATTCCATTTTATGTTGAGATTCAAAGTATGTTCCCTCTACTTTCAATTCCAGTTTCTCCATTTCAAGCCACCCATAGCCACATCAGTTTTCTTACTATTACAATCACTACTCATGAAATCCAGTATAACCTCACATATGTGTATATGAACTCTTTGGCACCATTTCCTTGCAAGCACTTTGAGTATGGGATTGGACATGGTATAGGCTGCAGCTATCAGGGATCGAGCCACAGAAGACGCGACCTATAGGCTGGATTAGGCCACCGTCAAGGTCGGATGCAAAAGTGTGGTGGTATGTTACAGCCTCACATCGTTTAGATATGGGCTTAAATACGGGCTCATGTGTAAATGAACCCTTAGCCACTTCAACCCCCCAAAAAAGCTGGTTTTCAAAGCCTACCAATGCTTCATAACACTTCCAAACACAATCTAATTTCTGCTATTTTGCTTTTGTAGACCAATTATTGTTAATTGAAAACACTGGCCCACAATTGTTTGATTTCCCGTTAAATTTCAGAAGAGAACTTTCATTTCTTTTCCTTTCATTTTTGCACCGCACAGAGTACTTATTGAAAACAAAAGCAAAGTAGAGCGAATTAAACGAACCAGAAACGAGAGGTGCAGACCAAGACGGCCCAATTGTTGGTGTGCATTGTGGCTTCCGAAGAAGAACTTGACGCGCTTGCATAGCAGAGACAGACTGAAGGTAGAAGCAAGAACAAGAACACCATGGATTTGAAGAAATTGTCCATTTTCAACTCCTAGTATCAACAGTTTTAGTTTCGTTCTCTCGACCGTTTTTGTAAGACTCCTGATCTAAAAACGAAAAACAGGAAGATTTTCCTTCGCGTACCAGTTTTTAGGGTAAATTACACTCAGACCCCTGCAATTTGCCACTTAATTTCATAAATCCCCTCATATTTGTAATATTACACCCACACCCTTAAATTTTATGCAAATAACACATAGACCCTTATCATCAATTTCTATTAATATAGCCATTAGCATTTCATGATGTCACCATATTATGGAAGTGTAATCCCCAAAATACCCTTTCTCCTATGAGGGCATTTGCGTCAGTTAGTCTTCTCCTTATTCTACTATTGCATAACCCATTTGTCCCTTGGGGTTGGGGAGAGAATATATAAATACCAAACTACACACTAGAAGCTAAGTAGGGAAGAGAGCATGTGAAAAAGAGGGAATATTATTTATCAATAAAAAACAAGGGGAATTTTTTTTTTTAATATTTCTAAATTTATTCTATGAAAATTAAGGGTTGCTAATTTTTGGCGGTTTTTCTGGATTTTTAAGGTTTAAGAAATGGAATCTTGTCAAGTAAAATAAAATCTTTTGAATTATGTCTAGATAATTTAGGTGCAATTTGTCAATTCCACCTCCCTATCAGTCACCATGGATTCCACCTCCGTGCCCACCACCAAAAATTTCACCTTCCTGTCCACAAAAATTCAGCATCATAATAATTGACCACAAATTAAACAAATCAGCAATGAAAACTCAACAAAGCAACAAATCAAATTGATGCATCAAATTTAACAAGGCCACAAACCAAATTGAAGCAACAAACTTAACAAAGCTTAGAGTTAGCTGCAACTAGTCACAGCAAACTCAATAACATAAAATAGCAACAGCCTAGTCACATCAAACCCAGTAACATAAAATAACAGCAACTTAGCCATATAACAGAGATGATATCAGAGTCTAACCAAAATCAAAAGCATAAAGCAAAAAACATGTTGGTTGATCTTCAACATAATTGAATCACATAAGTCATTAAACATAGCAAATGTGTCCATTATTCAACATACAAACCAATTTCCCACAACTCCCAACTATTCAAACTTATGACGATTCAAAATTATAACCATCCAAACAACACAATCCCAATTTTTTTTTCTAGACTTCAAATCATAACCAGCCAGCCAAAAGCAGCTAAAAAATTAAAAAAAAAAAAAACAGCTACCAGCACTGATGCAGTACAGATTACCCGCTTCCACGCATTAGTCACCCAGCCACAGCAACTAGCACAGACAGAGAGCACCAGCAAAAAAAAAAAACAAAAAAAACACAGACACCCACACACACAAATTGAGATATAGATCCCCACATGAATTCTATTTTGACAAGTTGAATAAAAATCAGACCCACATATCTCCACACACACAAATCAGACACCCACACACAAAAACGCAAATCAACACACACACACACACACAAATGAAAATCAACACCCACACACACACAAAAACGCAAATCAACACACACACACACACAAAAATCAGACACGCAAACACACAAAAAGGCACACACACAGACCCACAAATCAACACACACAAAATCTATACAAATCTAACTTAGATCTACACACCCNAAATGCAAATCAACACCCACACACACACAAAAACGTAAATCAACACACACACACAAAAATCAGACACGCAAACACACAAAAAGGCACACACACAGACCCACAAATCAACACACACAAAATCTATACAAATCTAACTTAGATCTACACACCCACACATAAATAACTCAAGATCTATGCATATCTAAAGTATAAATGTAAACTTCTAACAAATCCAACTCAGATCTAACAGAGAGAAGGCGAGACAGTGAGACAGAGAGAGAACTGAATTGTCTTCGTTGCACAAACGGAAGCGAGAGAACTTCGGTCTTCGTTGCAAAGACAAAGAGGCGATGGAGAGAGGTTCTTCTGTTACAGAGAAGGGAGAGAGACAGAGAATAAAAGACATTTTTGTTGCTAACAACATTCGAAGCCTAGATCTCATTATTCCTCTTCAGCCACGCGCGCTTTGTTTCTGTTTTTCCTTGTTTTTTAGAGCCATTTTTTTTTTTTTTGGCTGTTTTTGGACCATATTTTCAAAAACTGTTTTTTTTTTTTTTTTTTGAGAAATAACGCGGTACTGAGAATTCAATTACGTAGGAAAAGTTTGATTTATCTTAAAAAAACAGAAACACCTCCTAACCCCCTTTTTAAAAAAATTTAAAAAAATAAAAACATAACAAAAACACGAAACAAACGCACCTTTAATCGCAACAATTCAATAAGTTGTAGAACATCAATAAGTCCAAACCTTCAATCATTTAACTGACTTATTTTCCAGAAGAACCCCAAATCAATACAATGTGTTTGGTTAGTTGTTACTCTTTTTTTTTCAGAAAATATAAAGCAGAAATAGTTTCTATTTTTTCTGTGCTAAAAAGTTGTTGATTGTTTTTGTTTAAGAACTTATAAAATCTAGAATAAAAAATATATTTGATAATTAATTTAATTTATGTCATATTTAATATATTTATATTAATTTTCCCCAAAAAATTAATCAAATTTCAATGTCTCAATACATCCATCAACACATCAAATAAGACACAAGTCCATTCGAATGAAAAAATCATCCTTATCTTCCTTCAAGTTCCACCCTATTCTTGATCCAGTAGACCCCACTCCGCAAGATGATGAGAGGAATGGGTCCATCACCTGGTCATTAAGCTCAAGTCTAGAGGTTCATGCTTAGCATCAATTAGCAAGGAATGCAAATGGAACTATGTTACCTTTGAAGGAGATGCATAGACTATTGTTCATACGGTTATGCTCCCACGTCCCAAAATAATAAAACACACTAGTCAATTTCTACTATATTAAAAAATATNTACCTTTGAAGGAGATGCATAGACTATTGTTCATACGGTTATGCGCCCACGTCCCAAAATAATAAAACACACTAGTCAATTTCTACTATATTAAAAAATATTAGGTGTCTACTTCAAAATCACAGTGATCGATATATGACTCACATATATAGAACCTCCAATTCTACCATACATGAGCCGGAAAGATGGGACATCAAGGCACAAATGAACCTTAACTAGCATTGACTTACCCTTACAAGTCAAGAGAAGTGTAGGCAATGACAAAAAAAACTCTCCCCAATTAGAAACACAAGCGCTATAATTTTTCTCTTGTGTATATTTTCCTTGTATCTCAATTTCAATTAGCTGAAGAAAAATAAATCCTAAACCACATAGACCCACATACACAAATCTACTCAAACACGCACACATACATACATAGCCACAGACATATAGACACAAAGACGCACACATATAGACCCGCATACACACACATACACACTAAACTATATGAGTAGACATGTTTATTCATATATACCATGACATATATAAACTCTATATACATGCTGACATTTCTTTGGATTCCTATTTTTAGAAAAAATTTTATCAAAAATTTTTTAAAAAAATAGTAAGGGTTATATTAATTTCAATTTCTTTAATTAAAATAAATAAAGGNAGAAAATTTTATCAAAAAGTTTTAAAAAAAATAGTAAGGGTTATATTAATTTCAATTTCTTTAATTAAAATAAATAAAGGAAAAGCTATGATTTTGAGTCATTTATTTATATATGTGTGTGTGTGTGTGTGTGTGTACATGCACTCGATATTTATAAAGATACATATATGTATATAGACATATTTTCCCTCTTAGCGACACTTTGCATATATTAATTTGTCTACTCACATATTTAAGAAATCTAACCTTTGGGTTTGGTTCGAAGAGNGTATATAGACATATTTTCCCTCTTAGCGACACTTTGCATATATTAATTTGTCTACTCACATATTTAAGAAATCTAACCTTTGGGTTTGGTTCGAAGAGAGAAATTGAAAGAGAAAAGGGACGCAACAGATAAGAGAAATGCATATTGGGTTGACCTTTGCTGATTGTGAACTTTCAAAACTTGATATGGACCAATGCATGGCGAAGATACATCAAATTGGGAAAAGGTGCGATTCACAAACCTTCAACAAAGAGAGAACGCATAGATTGAAGCTAAGAGATAAGAAATCGTTTAAAGAGGGGAATGACCTAATTGTTGTTGAAGAAAATAGTGAAAGAAAAATGCCTCTAATAAAAGTCAAAGGGTAGAGCTTATTAAAAGTCCCCCTAACGCCCTTTTTTTCACTTTTTGTGTTTTTGAAAAACACCTTTTTTTTTCAAAATTTGGTCTTGTTTTTAAATCAATTAGTTGAAAAAATAATGATAACACTTAACAAACTCATTTTTGTTTTTAATTTTTTCAAAAAAGTAAACAAAACAAAAATAATTACCAAACACACCCAACACATTCAAGTAGTGTTTGTTCACAAAGGTGCGAAATTTATCCTATTTTATGAGAAATGTGGAAACTTCTACTATATAGCAATTCTTTCGGAATTTGGATTTCCTCTAATACACTCTCCTAATAAGACACTAACTTATTAGCTTGACGATCCACCCCGACTTCAACCTCAATTCATGACACAGCGACTTGTAGACAACATGAAAGCCCAACAGGTAGGGCCATGTATCATGGTTTTTGGCTCATTAAGCTTGCAGTTCATGTGCCTGACAAAAAAATAAAGTAGTAAAAATTATAAACTATTACGTTGTATTTGGTATGTATTAATTTTTTTAAATAGGAATAGAATAAACATAGAAATTGAATGAGCTTGAAAATAGAATGAAACGTGCATTATCATTTCAATGTTTGACAATTATTTAGGATCAAGTCCTGGAATGGACATTCCATTCCTACATTTAGATTAAATAATTTTTAGTGGAATGGGTATGGAATTAATCCACTCATGGGTAACCACATAAACTTTTTAATGGGAAAACATAATTAAACTCGACAACAAATATAAAAAATAAAAT